GCAGTCCCCCCCCCCCCCTCCGTCCCCTCCCCTCCCCTCCCCTTCCCAAGGCAGTGACAGCTGCAACCAAATCCGCTAACCAGCCAACAGCTGCCAACCACCAAACTACTCCCGCGAGCCACGACACCCGACTCGGCGCCATGAGCCTCCCGTTCCTTCCGGGCAACACGTTCAACGACCCTTGCCGCCAGTCGTACGCACGGTCACAGACGCTTCAGTACAACAACGGATATGCTGTCCCTGCCACCCTCGGCACCACTCCTGCTGCTATGGGGCTGGATGACGATGCTCTCGAGTCTTACGCAGGCTCTGACCCCAGTACGTGCCTCACAGCCGTTGGTGGCCAATGCCGTGTCTGGGTGACCTGCCCCGCAATGCCGCTGGCCACCGCCTGCCACCAAACGGTCCCCTCCCCAGCACCCTCCCGCCCAAATTTAGTACCACCCGCCCACACCTACCACAGCCATACCTACTGCCACAGCCATCCCTTCCACCTTCCACCCCCCCCCCACCCAGTCTGCCACTAACTTACCCACCCCCCCTCCCTTTTGTTCATATCCTCTTGATGCCGTAGTGCTGACCTACGGGGCTGACTTTGCCGCCACTCGCAAGGCCGCCCAGGTTCAGCCGTTTGTGCCGGCCTACGTCAAGCTCGACAAGGTCGTCCTTCGTTTCGGTGCCTACTTTCAGGAGGCCGTGCCCGAGTCGCCGGACGAGACGTATCGTGTCCGGCGAGTCACTCTCTCAGTTTTTGTGGAGGACGACTCGGTTCAGATCGATGAGGCCAAGACGCCCAACTCGGGCCTGGTCCAGGGTGTCCTGCTCAAGCGCCAACTGGTGCCCAAGCCCGACGGCTCGCTCTACACCCTCGACGACTTTAACGTCGGCCTCCTTGTGCCCATCTACGGCCGCACGTACAAGATCACCTCGGCCGATGACTACACTCGCAAGTTCCTCGCCGAGCGCGGCGTCGCTGTTGCCGACGATCTCCCGCAGCCGCGCAACCCGTACGACGACAAGCGTGCCGCCGCCGCCGCCCTCGTCCACACCCATACACCTGACATTGAGAACGACAAGCTCGCCAAGTTCCTCGCTCACGACCGCCAGGTCCTTCGTTTCTTCTGTGTCTGGGACGACCGCGACAAGTACTCCAAGCAGCTCCGCCCGTTCAATGTCCACTTCTTCCTCGCCGACGACACCGTCGAGGTTCGCGAAGTCCGCACCAACAACGACGGCCGCGATCCATTCCCACTCCTCCTCAACCGCAACAAGCTTCCCATCCACCACGACAAGCTGCCGGCGCCCGGCGACCCGCCGCCAGCCTTCTACAACGCGCGCGACTTTTTCATCGGCATGACTCTCAACGTCTTTGGCCGCCCTTTCCTCGTCTACGACTGCGACGGCTTTACGCGCAAGTTTTACGCAGACGTCTTTGGCCGCGCCATGGAGCCCATCACTCTCACCCAGTCGGCCCCGCCGCCGCCCGTCGTCGAAGTCCCGCCACACACCGGGTTCGGCACGCAAGCAGACTCGCTCGGCTCCGTCAACCGCCTGGCCCCGGCCCCGCCCCGCCGCGACTACGTCAAGCTTGCCAAGAACGAGGGTAAGGTCCTCCGCTTTGAGGCCTCCATGATCACCACCGCCACTGTCGACCTTAACCGCAAGTTCATCGTCTCCTACTTTCTGGCAGACGACACCATGTCTGTCTTTGAGCCTCCCGTCCGCAACTCGGGCATCCTCGGCGGCAAGTTCCTTGACCGCACCCGCTGCACCTACCCAGGCACAGACACCGTCTACGAGCCGCAGGACCTGTACATCGGTGCCACTGTCGACCTCTACGGCCACAAGTTTGTCCTCACAAACGCCGACGAGTACGCACTCTCCTACATGGAGCAGCGTCCGCACCTCTACCCGCGCGCAAACATCCAGCTCATCAAGGCCAAGCTTGCCTCGGGCCTCGACGACTTTGTCAACGCTGCCACCATTCACGCCTCGGCCTCTCCCGACGGCCTCGTCTCCGCTGACGAGTTCCAGGACGCCTGCTTTGCCACCGGCGTGCCCGACCTTGTTGGCCACGAGGTCCTCTCGCTCATGCGCGCCATCGACTCGGACGCCTCGGGCCGCTTTGACATCATGGCTCTTGTCGACGAGCTCTCGGCCTCCTCTTCGCGTGCCGATTGATCCATTGAACTTGCGCCAGTCTGCCTTCACCTCATCCCTGACGTTGCCATTTACTCGTCATCATCATCGTCAAAGTCGCTCTCGTCGTCGTCGTCTCCACCCGCCACACTGGCCTTCATCACGTCCTCGAACCGCGGCGTCGTCACGCTCGGCGACGCCAGCGCCACCCCGCTTCCGCTTCCGCTTGTCGGAATCGGGAGTGGCAGCGGCAGCGGCGCAGTGCCTCCAGCTGTCGGCACCGGAACCGGGACCGGGACCGGAACTGGCCCTGCTGCAGACCCCTCGCCGGAGAGAGCCTTCTGCATCTTGACCGGCCGCGCCTCCTCGCTCTCGGAAGCCTTGCGCTTGCTTCCGGACGTGGATTCCGCCTTGACTCCTGCCTCTGCGCCGGAAGCCTCATGTCTCTTCCGCGCCGCCGCCTTGCTCGCCCGCTTGGCTGCCCGTGCCTCCTTGGCCTGCGCCTTGGCCATCTCCTCTGCATCCGCCTCGTCGTCTACATCAGGCGCGCCTTCGACTGTACTCTGGAGAAAGTCGAGAAGCGGACGATCTGCCACCATGGCCTTGACATGTGACGGCTTGATAAATGCTAGGCCCTTCGCACGAGCCCTCCGCCCCAGCGACTGGACCAGATCGTCGAGGAAGAACTCGATGGCCTTGGAGATGATGAACGATGCCTCGGGTGCCACACGCCCCACCTCAGGATCAGACTGAATGATGGCCTTGATACGCGCCTGTTCGTTTTCCCGCCAGCCACCCCCCACGTCCACGCACCACGCACCAGCCCCCATGCCCCGCCCCACAAACAGCTCGTCAGTCGCTTTTGCCTGTTGCACTCGCGAGCAGCGTCGGTCCCGTTGCCTTTGCCTAGCTGCCACTTCCCCTACCAACACACACACACACACACACACACACACACACACACGCACAACATACCCGAGGGAACCGACATGCAAACCGCTTGTTGGGTGCCATGCCGCCAACAGGGGAGAGTTGCGTGTCTACTGCTGCCTGCTGCCTGCCGCCCGCCCCTCACACCTCGTCGCTCGCTCTCTGTCGCTCGCACCCCGTCAGCATCAGCGTTAGCCATCAGCCTGCTCACTCGAACTCTACCCGCCGTCTCTCTTGGCCGGACGGCCTCAGCATCACACACATTCCACATCTTTGCCTCAGCTCGCAGCGCCAGGGCTGTTACTCGATCGCTTCGCCGTGCAACCGAGCAAGCGCAGCCTGTCGCGCGGCAGCAAGCGCAGCACGCAGATTGCGGCCTTGGAGCTGGCGGACGACGCCAAAGAGCTCAATGAGAGCGGCATAGAGACTGTCCGCTCCGCCGGACTTGGCAAAATCAAGCAAGACATCGGGCGCCGGACGGGCACACAGTGCAAGCGCCATCGGCTTAAAGAGTAGCCACTCATCCGACCGTGGGTTGATGCCGCCGACTGCTTGGGCCACAACTCTTCCCGACGTCCACCACGAGCCATGCAGCCAGCTGGCATGCAGCGCGCCGACGGCCCTACAGCTCGACGGTGCGCTCAGCGCATGAACAAGCGCCTCATGCGGCACATGCTGGAGCACACTCGCCACTGCCCGTGCGATCCGCTCGCAGCCAGAGACTGCGCCTGCGCGCGCCAGCGCGCACAGGGCGTCCTCATCCAGCGCAGCTGCCCATCTGGCTGCCGAAAGACCCTCGACCATCATCACCACAGCGCCGGCGAGCCCTCGCTCGGCAGCAAGAATCAGCGGGTACCGGCCACACGGACCGGGCTCCATGTACTCGGCGCCATCGCGAAGGAGAGCCTCGGCCAGAGCGTCTGCCTCGGCGACCACTCCGGCGTCACGGACTCGCCGCGCGTCAAGTGCGTCGAGGAGCCGGAGCAGGCTGGTGATCTGTTGCCCACTCTCAGTCACATAGTGGCTGTTGACAGGCACTCCGCGGTCAAGCAGTGTGCGTGCAATGCCGAGATGCAGCTCGCCCAGTGCGTGGTGGAGTGGCGAGTGCGTCGCTGTCCACGCACCAGAGAGCTTCGGCTCGGTGACAGCATGCCGTGACGACCACGGTCTGCGCTTCGCCGACCAGTACGTCCTACTGCCAAAGCGTTGACCACAGACTGGCTGTGAATCCTCCAAAGAGCGTGCAAACGCTCCAAGGGTCTCGCCCGAGAGCACGCCCGTACCACGCAGTCCGAGCATGGCTCGGAGCAACACACCAGCCGCGGTGGTCGACGAACCCAGCAGCGCTCCGTTGAGTGGACAGAGCAAGGCATCCACCGGATCACCATGGACCCGCGAACGGTCGGCACCTGCTGCAAGCAGCAGCTGCACACTCTCCAGGTGCCCATTGCGCGCTGCCACGTACAGAGGCGTCACGCCTGCCACGGCGCCGCCCGGTCCAGACTGGACCCGAACCACAGGCGACGTCGCGCACCCTCCGCTCAGCAGCAGCTCGAGCACTTTGGCATCGTTGCGTCGCGCCGCCTCGTGCATGACCCCCCAGCCCGAGCCCGCCGCCATGTCACATCCTGACATGTACATGCGGTACGCACGCAGCATCCGAGCTGGCGCTGCCAGCACAGCCACTGACAACGAGAGCCGAGAGAGCGTTGACGCAATCTTGTAATCCTTGCTCCCGCCACCACCCTCCACCATGACCTCACCCCGCGGCTCGGCCAAGGCCATAAATGGGCCACTTGCGACGGCTCGCCGATGTATAATCTCGATGCCAGCGCGTGCATCAGGCATGATGCCGTTGGCAAAGAGCGCCGCCGCCGCCAGCTCGTTCCCGCTCGTCACCGCCAACCAGTGCCAGTCGACCACCACCTTGCTCCCACGCTGCCAGAACACATGGCGTGCACCCCACTGCGAGGAAGTGAACCCGGCCAGCACTGCCTCGACATCGTGGGCGGTACCGTACCGCAGGAAGAAGTACATCGGTGGCGGGATCGACGACGCTGTAATCGCACCGCTCTCGCACACCGGTGGAACAGAGAGCGAGACCAGGCGACGGAGGACTTCGAGCCCCGCAAGCGCGTTCTTCCCCTTAAACTGTGATCGCGCCAGACAATCACACACCCGCTGAGTCACTGTCCATGAGTTGGAGCGCAGGAACGCGAGCAGATCTGGTCCAGCCTCGTCGTCCTCGCGCTCGGGCGCCACAACCAGATCGCGCAGGACGTCACCGCTCAGCTCGCCGCTCTCAAGCACCAGCAGGAGCGAGCGCATCGAGCCCGCTGTCGCCGCCACATGCGCCGCGTTGGTGCTCACCACGTACGAGCCACTTAGGGGGACGTCGTCGCCGAGGACGTCGACCCGGAACAAATGCGTGGAAATCGGGCCAATCACACTCACGCTCATCTTGTGAACAAGGAACTTGACCAGAGCGTAGCGGTCGAACCAGGCCGCAAGCGCGAGGGTTACAAAGCTTGGCTCGGCGCCCGCCGCTAGCAGCTGTTTCACAACCTGGACGTGGCCTCGAAGCGTTGCCATGTTGAGCGCCGAGTCCAGATATGGCTCCAGCTCAATCCGTTCCACATCGCGCAGCAGGAGCCGCACAAGGTCCGACGAGCCACTGGCTGCCGCCGCGCTGAGGACCGAGAAGCCGCCAAAAGCCGAGCCGATGGCAGCCTCCAAGAGAGTAGGCCTCGACCCAGCCAGCGACGCCTTCCGCCGCCGGTTCCAGTGCCCACCGTACAGCTGCCAGTGGGTCTCGACCCTTTCGGCCAGAGCAGGCGTTACATCGCCAAAGGCCAGTAGCCGGAAGAGCCCCTCTACAGCCGCCACCGGCGCAAACCAGGTTGCACCGAACGGAGGCGTGTACTCGCGCCAGAACACACGTGGCGGCGTTGTCGCCATCACTGAGCACACCCAGCCTGCCTCGCCGCGCCCAGCCAGATCGAGGACCAGGGGCACACCGCCAGGCGTGGTATAGTCCATGACATGCTCGCCGCACGCTGCCACAATGCTCAGCAGCTCCTCCGCCAGCTGCAGCGGTGCATTGGCCGCTGCAAGCATGCCCAGGAATGTGACCTTGCCAAACAGCGACTGGACATGCATCGCTGCGACAGCGTCAAAGGTAGGCAAGCTCATCATAAGCTCCAGACTTGGCCACACATGCTTAATCACAAGCCGCGTGACAAGTGCAGGCGACGGCGCCTTGACATCGACCAGCCCCATCCGGAGCAGCTTGCCAAAGATACCCAGCCACTCATTCTCGCCGGTGATCGCCGCCACGGTTGCGCCGTGGACATCGGGCCGGTTGAGAGCGCGAAAGGCGTCGTTGGGTGAGACGACGTGTGCCGCCGGCCGGCCTGCATCGCGGCTGACCTGCGGCGTGTACTCGGAAAGCACCATGCATAGCATTGTGTCAAGCAGGTCATGGTGGCCGGCAAGCGCCGCCACAAGTAGCGGCGAGCGGCACTTTGCGTCGCACGCTAGCAACGCTGCCGGCTGACAGGTTCCGGCTAGGAACTCGAGCGCGTCGGCAAGCCCGAGGCGTGCAGCAAGATGCAACGCCGACTCGCCGCCTCGGTCGGTGGCGGAAGCATCGGCGCCAAAGGTGCAGAGCACATCAAGCATGGTCATGAGCTCGGAGCGTGGCGTGGAGCAGAGCGCATGGTGAAGGACGGTCCATCCCGTCGAGCCAAAGGCAGCCCGGCTAGGCTTGTGCGCCAGGTTGGAGACAAGCGGCGCATCTGACGGGTAAAACGGGTCATCGCCCGAGAGAATAGCCATCACCTTGTCCGTAGCACCAGAGACTACGTAGTCGAGCAGTGATACGTGGCCGTGCTTTCGCAGCATGGCCAGAACAGATACACCAGACACGTCGCGGACCGCAAGCTCGGACAGCGAAAAGGTTGCGCGTGACGTCGCCGAGAGGCAGGCCAAGAAGCTGGCATCGGCGGCCGCTGCCGTCTTTGTCGGCCAAGTCGCGAGGTGAAGCGGGGTGGCCCCGGCGCAGTTAGCCATCACGAGCACGTCCGGAAAGTTGCGGACAACCAGCGGGAGCACGTCGTCGCGCCCACAGGCTGCCGCAATGTGCGCAAGCGTGTTGCCGGAAGCGTCGACAACGCGGACAAGATCTGGAAAGGCAGCCACAAGGCGAGCCACTTCCGAGTACGAAAAGGACGCGAGCTGGGCGTGGAGAAGCGTCTGGCCGCTAAGCGCGTCGCCCACAAGTGGCGCGTCGATGGACGGCGAGGCCGAAGCGGCGCGGACAAGCTCAAGCGTTCCATCAGGGCCCAAGAACGAGGGGAGCGAAAGGAAAGAGTCAGCAGCTGCGAGCAGCAGTGCGTCAAGGTTGATGATGTTGATACGGATGACGCTGGCATAAACGTCCAGTCGCGGGGCGCGGTGCCAGCGACGGCGACGATCGGCGGCCTTTCGCCGAGCGTGGTTGACAACGGCAGCGACTCGGGCCTGGTTGGTAGCCTTGCGTGAAGCAAGCGTCCGGCGGACAACCAGATCGCGCTTGTGGTTACGGCGTGAGACTGGGATGTAGGCAAAGACACCGAGAGGCTCTGGCGACGACTTTGTGCCCGGAGCGCGCCCGTTGATAGCCGGCAGCCGCGGCAGGATCTCGCCGAGGGCGATGCGCGCCTCGTCATCTGCAGCCACAGCAGCGCCATCCGGAGCCACAAAAACAAACTCTGGCTCACCCGGTAGCAGGCTGCCAAGCGCAGCTGCAACAAGCGGCCGGACAGTTGCGAGCGGGGAAGCCGAGCCGCCCAAGAGCTCAACGCGGAGCGGCTCGAACACCTGCGCCGATCCGGTGTTGTACACCGCCAAAGAGAGCGGCATGGTATCCAGCGAGGCCAGGATCTCCATATTACGCTTCCGCGCCGATTCTGCTCGACGGGCCAGCAGCGGCGGCTTGGGCGGCCTGCCAGCTGGCGAATGGCGGCCATGTCGAGCTGGCTGGTCGGAGCGCACCTGACGCCGGGCCTTGCGCGAGGAGTTAGCAGCGGGCGGGGATGAGGGCGGGGGTCCCTGCGCCCGCCCACTCCGTGCACCCATACCCGGCAAGTGGTGCTGGGTCGATGCAGTCAGGTGTGGGTCGCGTCCGTGTGGAAGTGGGAGCCCGACCGAGCCAATCGTAGCCAATGGCTGGCAGACTGGGCCCGAGCTCGAGGCGGAGCTGGAGCCCGAGCTCGATGAGCCGGGAGGATGGAAGCCGGCGTCCAAGTCTGCGCACTTGGGTGACTGCGGGCATGGAGAACGGATCGGAGATGTCTGCGCGGTAGAAAGGAGCATGTTGAGGATGACCAGCGGGATGATGGGTGGGAATCGGCAATGAGCGCAGTGATGGTGGGGCGAGAGGTGGTGTGGAGGAGTGATCAACCGCCGGAACTCGCTTCCCCCCATTTGGGCGGAGGGGGTGACGGACGGGGAGGGAGCGAGCCGAAACGGGGGGAGCTACTCCAATCTCTTTACACGAGGCGGGGAGACGAAGGGCGATGGAGGGTTTATGGAGTGGTTTAAGTCATCAGAGGTTGGAGGAGGGCGTGGCGGTGACGACGGCGTGGATGGCGGCAGCGACGGCGTTGACGTTGGACGCGTTGAGGCCGGACATGGAGATGCGGCCCGAGTGGAGGAGGTAGACGTGGTGATCAGCCATGAGTGACTCGGCCTGGTCGCGGGTGAGGCCGGTGTAGGAGAACATGCCAATCTGGTTGACGATATGCGACCAATCGCCGGGCGTGCCGGCGGCGACGAGGGCGTCGTGGAGGGCGTGGCGCATGGCGACGACGCGGGCAGACATGGTCTTGAGGTCGGCAAGCCACTGGGTGGTGATCTCGGGAGTGGTGAGGAGGCGGGTGACAACGCTGGCAAAGTAGCGCGGCGGCGACGAGTACATGGGGCGGATGATGCCCTCGAGCTGAGTCATGAGCGCCGGGCGGGCGTCTGCAGCGTGGGTGAGGACGTGAGCAGCACCGACGCGCTCGCCATAGAGGCCGGCAGACTTTGCAAAGCTCTGAGCGACGACGAGGTCGATGCCGGCGGCGGCAAAGAGGCGGAGCGAGGCGGCGTCTGCGTCGGGATCGCCCGAGGCAAAGCCCTGGTAGGCGGCGTCGAACCAGGGGAAGAGGCCGCGCTCGAGGCAGACGTCGCGAATGGCCTCCCACTGGGTCATAGATGGGTCGACACCCGACGGGTTGTGGGCGCACATGTGGAGGAGAACGATGGCGCCTTCCGGGCGGCGCGGAGGTCTGCGAGCATGCCGTCGGCGTCGAGGCCGCGGGTGGCGGCATCAAAGTAGCGATAGGTGCGGATGTCTGCGTCCGGGTTCGTCCGCGACAGCACCTTGACATGGTTGCCCCACGTCGGGTCGGGGAGGTAGATCGGGGCGGCGGGGGCGAGGATCTTGAACAGCTCGGCGAGGACGCGCAGGGCGCCGGTGCCCGAGAGCGTCTGGACGGAGACAAGACTGTCGACGACGGGCGAGTCTGCGCCAAAGATGAAGCGAGCAGCAGCAGCAGTAAAAGCAGTGTCACCGCGAATGGGAAGATACTCGTGGATGACCGTGTCGTCGGCAGCAGCTGCTGCCTTGGCCGCTGCCACTGACGGCAGGATCCACGGCTTGCCGTTCTCGTCGCGGTAGGCACCGATGACCAGGTTGGCCACTGGTGCAGGGTCGGCCTTGGCCCGAGCTGCAATACCGTAGATGGAGTCTGCCGGAATGGGCTGCGCGTTGACGAGGTGAGATGATGCCATGCGTGCCAGGCGAGTGGGGGTACGGGGAGGGAGAGAGAGCGGTGGGTGCCGCTGTCGCGGTCGTGCGCCACGTGGCGGCGGCCCGGTGAGCTGGGGCAGCTGCGATAACTGGATAGGTTTGGGACAGGGTAAGGGGTGGGGGGATGGGGGGGTTAGGGGGAGGGTATTTGCCTTTGGTAGTGTATGGGTAGCATGGGGTGGGGCGGTATGTGCAGTGGATGCGCTATCTGTGGTGATCTTTTCTCTAGCTACACATCGGAGTGACTCGGCCTGCGGCTTGTAGCACTCCCACAGGACGCACTACGGCTGCATCGCTGATGATGCAGCGTCTAGGGCCAGGTCATGGACCACGCATCGGCCGATACGAAAGCGAGGACGGGGGGGGGGGGGGGGGGGGGGGGAGGGGGGAGGATCGGCCTGTGTGTAGAGGTCTTGTGCTGCTGCGGCACGCGAGCAGACGCACATCATTTGCAACGCGAAATCAAGGGCCAGGCCAGGTCATAGGCCAGGCATCGGCCGTGTGTCTTCTGTGCACCCGAGTGCGAGATCGGAGTCGTCGGAAGAGCTGGCGGCGAAAGTTGCGTCGGCGAATCGGCGGCAGCGGGCGGAGAGCGACCGTTGCGTGCGCACATGCGAGTTTGGACGGCGGCCGGCAGGTGGAGGGACGAGACTGGGCAACACATCACTCGAACGACAGAGACGGGAACAAGGAGCAATCATGGACGCCCTGAGGTCAGCAAAGAAGACAATGCGCAAGGCGACGCGTAAGGCGACGCGGTCTGTGCACGAGGCGCTGCACTCTGTCATCGATGAGGAGATGGACATCCAGAAGGCGCTCGAGCATGTGGCCATGGAGCACGAGGACTCGTCGACGTATGTCTCGGCCTGGGCCGAGACCACGGGCGATGCCCAGATCATTTCCTTTGCATCGGCCCTGCAGCCGCTCTTCCGCAACCAAGTAGAGGCAGAGGGTGCACTGGCGGTGGCTCAGGGCGACTTTGTGGAGATGTGGAAGCGGCTCCTGGCCAAGGAGCGCGTCCGCGACAACCTGCGCAAGACGCTCGACAAGAACCAGGCCAATGTCGACAAGCTGCAGACCAAGCTCGCGTCAGCGCCGGCTGCAAAGCGCGCTGCACTCGAGCAAAAGCTGGCGGAGGCGACTCAGCTCCGCGATGCCGCGCAGGCCGAGTACGAGCCGGTCGCCGCCGAGACTGCCGCCTTCACCCACGATCAGCTCGTCGCCGGCTACACTGCCTTCAATGCAGCCTACATTCAGTACCTGCAAACGTGCCTCAACGCCGCCAACGCCCGTTCCGACACCATCAACGCCTTTGCCGCTGGCAATCCGCAGGGAGGAGGCGGTATCCGGGCCGCCGCCGCCGCCGCCATGGGCTCCGCTGCCGCGTACATGCCCAGCAACGGCGCACCGCCGGCCTACCAGTAGAAGATCGTTTTAAAGCGTAACGTCGATGTGCAGGCCGAGGTGCACACCCGACTCAAAAGCAAAAGTGATTTCGTTCGACGGCGGCGGCTCCAAGACCAGCTGCGAGAGGCCGAGGACGCCAAAGCCGAGCTCCTCGACTTCGTCGTTGGCGTCGGCGCAGACAAGTCGGACCAGCATGTCCGCCGGCCCCGGACACGCCAATGCCAGTGGAATGTTGAGCGATTCTTCCCAAGCGCACGTGCCCGATGCATCGATGACAGCCTCGGCCGTGGCAGTCACTAGCTCGCCAAGCCGGACAACTGTCACTGCGCGTCGGCTACAGAACCGCAGTGGGATTGCCGACGCGCCCTTGAACGCGATGTTGAGCGCCGACATCGCACTTGAAGACGACGACGACGACGACGAAACCTCGTCCTCGATATGTGCTGCTGATGCTGAACACGCACTCGACACAAACGACATCTGGTAGCCGAGCGTGGCTGAGCCGGCCAGCATCGGGTCGCTGCTGCTTGTGCCGCTGGAAACGATCTGGTCAGACATGGCTTGGGATTCGGCGTCCGCTTGCCGTGCCTCGGCCTCTTGTTTGGACTCGGCCTGAACTTTGGCCGGGGACTTGACCTCGGCTTTGTTCGCCTGCCACACATCAGCCTGCGGCTCGGTCTCGGCTTCGTCCGCCTGCCACACATCAGCCTGCGGCTCGGTCTCGACCTTGGCTTCGACCTCGGCTTCGTCCGCTCGCCGCACATCAGCCTGCGGCTCGGCCTCGACCTTGGCTTCGACCTCGGCTTCGTCCGCTCGCCGCACATCAGCCTGCGGCTCGGCCTCGACCTTGGCTTCGACCTCGGCTTCGTCCGCTCGCCGCACATCAGCCTGCGGCTCGGCCTCGACCTTGTCTGCCTGCCACACATCAGCCTGCGGCTCGGTCTCAGCTTCGTCCGCTCGCCACACATCAGCCTGCGGCTCGGTCTCGGCTTCGTCCGCTCGCCACACATCAGCCTGCGGCTCGGCCTCGACCTTGGCTTCGACCTCGGCTTCGTCCGCTCGCCACACATCAGCATGTGGCTCGGCCTCGGCTTTGTCTGCCTGCCACACATCAGCCTGCGGCTCGGTCTCAGCTTCGTCCGCTCGCCACACATCAGCCTGTGGCTCGGCCTCGGCTTTGTCTGCCTGCCACACATCAGCATGTGGCTCGGCCTCGGCTTTGTCTGCCTGCCACACATCAGCCTGTGGCTCGGTCTCAGCTTCGTCCGCTCGCCACACATCAGCCTGCGGCTCGGCCTCGACCTTGTCCGTCCGCCACACATCAGCCTGCGGCTCGGCCTCGGCTTCGTCCGCTCGCCACACATCAGCCTGCGGTTCGGTCTCGGCTTCGCCCGCCCGCCACACATCAGCCTGCGACTCGGTCTCAGCTTCGTCCGCCCGCCACACATCAGCCTGCGGCTCAGCCTCGGCTTCGTCCGCCCGCCACACATCAGCCTGCGGCTCGGCCTCGACCTTGTCCGCCCGCCACACATCAGCCTGCGGCTCGGCCTCGGCTTCGTTCGCCCGCCACACATCAGCCTGCGGCTCATCCTCGGCAGCATGCGAGTCAATATCTGACCGCCATACGGTTCCACTCCTCTCACCAGACTCACTTCCACTCTCGCTGACCACCGAGAGGTCCGAGCCCAGGCCACGGCCGGCATTCCGCTGAGCAACCTCCATCCACGACGCCGGCCTAGACAGCACCCCGCTCCCAACTGCTCTCGCATCCGCATCCGCATCCACGTCCGCTTTGGCCACCAGCGCGAGATTCGACGAGCTTTGTCCAAGTTGCGGTGCTTGCCGCGCCCACTTCTCCTGGTACTGCCGCCGCGACTCGGCGAGCTCTCTCCGACGCTCTTCCACAGAGCGCCGGAAGCCTGAAAACCGCCCCGCGAGTGGGTGCAGATCGGCAGGCTCAGCATTATCGGCCCGTCCATCGAGGGCAGACCCGCTCCCGCTCGCCCCCGCTGTGCTGCCGCCACGACAACTGCTCGCCCCTGAGCGCTCGTCGTCGTGATAGCGGCTCGCCACAAACGAGTGCAGCCCCGCAGAGCTCCCAGAACCGGCGCCGTGGCCCTCGCTTGGCGGTGAGAGCAGCGATTCGCGGCGGATGATCGGCTTGGCCTTTGACGAGGAGGAGCTCTTGGTCTTGGACTTCTTGTTCTTCTTCTTGGTCGTCTTCTTCTTGCGGACTCGCCGAACCCGCCGCCGCCGCTTCAGCTGCCGCTGCAAACGAACTGCATCCGGGATCTGCGAGAGCGATGCCTCAGTCACCCGCGAGGTGTCGATGCCCGGCGCCCTGGACGTCACCTGCGTTGTGCGCCGCCCCACAGACGGCGCCTCGCTCCCCTCCAATCGCAATGGGTCCAGCTGCTCTCCGTGCCGCCAGCGGTAGCCGGGCTTGATTCGAAGCCGCCCAGTCCTCCGGCTGCGGCCTCCTGGCGGCCGCGCAGCAGGCGGCCGCGGCACAACCGGCTCCTGACTGGGGGCGCCAAGCTCGTTCCCTACCCCTGCAGGCTCAATGACCGCAACTGCCGCTGCCACCGGAGGCACCTTGGGTAGCCGCCGGGCCGTGCGCACACTTGGTGCCGCCACCTCGCTGCTAGGCTTTCCAAACGCTGCATCAAGCATCGCCCGAAAGTACACCATGTCTTCGGTCACGCCCATGCTCGCAGCCACTGCGTCCGACCCATACGCCGTCTGCAGCGACGTAAGCGCAGACGCCGGTCCGGGCACAGGCTTCACTGCCTCGGCACGCTCGCGCTTGTAGAACTGCGGCTGAAGCTCCGGATCGTCGGCGAGGCATAAGACATCGCCAGGCGTCGATGCCACCGCCCGCCGGACTCGCGACGGCCGCGACCGAGCCGAGCACCCCGTCACCCGTCGCTCCTTGAGCTTGGGAAACATGTACGCCTTCCACAGCGCTGCATGCATGGCCCGCAGCGAGGTCGCCCCGTCGAGCGCCTCCTCCGGCGCCTGGGTGCCCATCACGCCCGAGAGCCCAATCCGCACCGCACCGCCGCTGCCGTCGACAAGATCAACCCAGCCCTCCCACTCCTTGACCAGCACTTGCGGCCAGACGGATGCCATCGGAATCGCCGCCCAGCCCAACTCCAGGTCGTCATCGCCTTGCCGGCTCGCAAAGACTATGACATGCAGAAACTCGGTGTCAAGGTTGATCTCGGGTGTCAGCGCGACCCGCGACACCGCCTGCCACACAGGGCTCGGATCCGCCGGGGACGTCTCAGTCCGTGCTGCGACCGACCCGAGGCCGAGCACCACATACACTCCGTCGCTGCCGCGGGCCATCGCGCTCAGGCCCCGTGCCCGCAGGACCCGGACAACCAGCTCGTCTGGACGCGATATGTCACCGCCTGACTCGCTACTGTCACCATCGGGCCTACTGTCGCTATCTTTGCGCTGCGGCGTCGTCGGTGGTGACTCGCCCAGCAGCGCCGCTCGCGACAGCGTCCACCGCCGCCCGCGCTGCCGCACCGACATCGACTCGATTCCGACGTTGCTTGCCAGCATGGCGAGAAGATCAGCGTCAGCCCGCGCCGCCGAGGCTGTCACATCCAGCACTAGATGCCGCACAGAGGTGTTGACATGGAGCGCCGCGAGCGTGCGCGCATAAAGACCGTACGGCACGCCGGCGAGCACAACAATCGCCACCGCCGTGTTGAACGCAAGCGCATCGGCCACCGCCACCGCATACGACACTTCCCACGCCAGAAGCTCGCCCATGTCTACATACGTAAGCCGCCTGTCCGAGTTCTGCACAGCGCGCAGCACCAGCGGAGGCTGACTCACCCGCCGTCCATCCTCCCTACCTGCCGCCGCAAACAGCGGGGCCAGTTGCGCCACACCCATCGCCCGATCTCTCAGCGCCGCATAAACCGCCGTCGCCGTCGATTCGGCTGTCCGTCAGCCCCCGCCAACACGCAGCCGTCCGCAAGCCCGTCCGTCCGTTTAGCCAGACACGCCCGCCGCAACACACCTATGAGTCTCTTGCCCTCCCTCCCCTCCCATACATCCACACAACCCTACTACGTACGCGCCTCTGTCAGGAGCCGGGCAATGAGCTCGGCTGCAAGGACCGGGTCTGCCGCAGGCTGTCCTTCGGCGCTGTCCCCAGCCGGCAACAACGTGTCCGGAGCTGCGGACGCCACAAAGCCAATGGGAAGAGTGTCGCCATTGCCAGACACCATCCCAGTCTCTGCAGTCTCTTCTCTGCTCTTTGTCTTCAACACTCTCTCTGAATCATTGCACAGTCTGCCTTTGCCGCTGCGCTCAGGCTCGGCTTCGGCCGCTGCTCTCTCCATTGAGTCGAGTGCCACCGACCGGCCGTAGGTCATGCTGGCGAAACTCGCCTTGCTGGACTACGTTGTCAGGACGCTGCCGAGCAAATCAAGCGGTGTCTCTCCGCGCATGACCTCGTCAAGATCAGTGCGCAAGTCCTGCTGCAAGCCCCTGCAATCCATCATCATGGTCGGCAGCAAGTGCCAGTTGCTGCTCTCCGCCTCGACGGGAAAGGTACTCGCCGCGCCGCAGGCATCGACACATACTCGCTGTCGGCGAGGAGAGCTCCGCGCATCGATATGATCGGCGGCTGGGGCGTGACCGGGGCAAGGGGTTGGGCGCGGGACGGCTTCTCGTTTCACAACTACTTGGTCTTGGCGCCGTCCTTAACGGTGTCGATCATCGCCTTTTGGTCCTGCACCAAGGCTGTTCTCGCCACCCACGCTACCGCCAAGACCAAGCCGAGAATGAGTCAGACGTCGTTGACCTGGGTGAGAGTGGTAAAGACGCGGGCGAGCAAGCCGCCAAAGTTGAGGACAAAGGTGATGGGCGAGAGCGGGCCAGTATGGCCGTTGGCAAAGTTGGCGATGATCGCAGGGATGCGGACGGCGCAGGCCAAGGGGATGGTGGAGAGCTGAACGATTTAGCGGAGGTCGGCCGGGAGGACGATCATACCAAGGACGAGCGCGGCGCCAAAGACCGAGACGGCGATACGCTCAGACCACGCGACCGGCGGCACGGTGTAGTGCCAGTAAATGACGACAAGGACAAGGTTCTGGGCGAGGCGTGCCGGCCACAATGGCCAGTCACAGAACCTGCGAGACAAGCACCTTGACCCCGGGCAGATCCATGCCGATGACCGGGAGCGGGGCGACGACGACAGAGACCACAGCCGGCGCTGTAATGAGTCCAATCACGAGACGAGTCTCCAGGCGAACATGGCTGGACAGGCTGGTTAGGAGACTGAAGAGTGGTCGGGAGAGGGGGAGGGGGGGGGGGGGCTGTGTCACCCTCGCTGCGCGGTGGTATATTCGGCGACGCGACAAGTTGTGTCTGTCTAGAATTTTTAACAACACCCAGCTGCCCGCCGCTCTCTCCACCATCCAGCGAATAGAAAAACCCGTACACACACATACACACACATACACGTTCTTACACACACCAGTACGTACCTGTTTGTACAGCTCCCCCCCATCCCACATACTTACAAATACACCATCCCCCCCCCCCCCCCTTTCGGCACCTTTTCGCTCCAATATGCGCGTGTGTGCCACGGGTGTGTCAAAAACGCCGAGAGGTCACCTCGCGCCGCCGATACACTCACCACTCACACTGCCCAGTCACAATGAGCAGATACAGCATGCGCGGCATGCGGTATGCACTGCTGGCGGTTGCCTTCAACATATCGTTGCTCGTAATGTATGGGCTCGGTGGCTTCGACACGTTCGACACGCCAGCAGTACTCCGGGGAAGCGGAAACACAACCCCGGCGCCACCGCCACCTCCTCCACCATCGCCACCGCCTCCTCCTCCATCGCCACCTCCGCCTCCACCATCACCGCCACCGCCTCCCTCCCCACCACCGCCACCGCCACCTTTTGCGTCGCCCAATATCACTAGCTTCACGTTTTCAGACGTCACCCCGCACACCATGTTTCGCGCTCCGGCTGCCACATGCTCTCTTGCCCTCCCGATGGTCGGCGAGCTCGGCACACATGATATTGGCGAGCTGCTCAGCTACACTGGGTTTGCAGGAGTCAGCATCACCCGCTCAGTAATCGAGACTGCTGGCGAGCCAGTTTCGTGCTGCGCTTGTGTGGTCCCGGAGGAGATCCCGCACCTCATCCATGAAAACCGAGTAAATGCTCGATGTATCCACCATCACCGCCACCGCCTCCCTCCCCACCACCGCAACCGTCACCTTTTGTGCCAATCAATATCTCTCGCTTTACTTTCTCAGACGTCACCCCGCACACCATGTTTCGCGCTCCGGCTGCCACATGCTCTCTTGCCCTCCCGATGGTCGGCGAGCTCGGCACACATGATATTGGCGAGCTGCTCAGCTACACTGGGTTTGCAGGAGTCAGCATCACCCGCTCAGTAATCGAGACTGCTGGCGAGCCAGTTTCGTGCTGCGCTGTGGTGGTCCCGGAGGAGATCCCGCACCTCATCCATGAAAATACGGCAGCATGCCTCGCATTCAATGTAGGCGCTTCACTCGCGACCTCGTCGGACTGTACGGGCGCGACTGTGACAATCAACGCCCAGCCGCCGCTGTCAGCGACCAACGCAAGCAATCCCGCTTCGCAGCGCTTGGGCAAGGTCGGGATTGTGGAATGGGGTGAGGGCCTCTGCGTCGACGTCGGCTTTTCCAGCCCATCGTGCACCGTCCCGGACGACCACACTCTCTACGTGGCCCTTGACCCCTGGACCGACGCTTTCTGGCACGACTTTCACAACGGCTTTATGCGAACTTTCGGCACGCTCTACGAGCTCGACGATCCGTCATTGTTGCAATGTGACGACAGCTGGCCCGAGGTCTGTCGGGTCAACACGACTAAGGTCATCGTCGCCTACAGGGTCTCCACAAGCCCGAGTCATTCCGCCGGACCAAGCCTTCGCGGGCTGCTCGCACATCTGGCCGACGAGGTCATCGCAGAGCCGGATCCATCGCACTGCTATGCGCGGGTGGTTGCCGGTCCCGCCACTGCGCTTGATCTCAACGCTGGCGCTCGCTTCACACTCAAGTCGACGAAACTGCTCTCGTACTTTTCGCGCTGGTACTATTACGTCGTAACCGGTGAGCCACTCGATCCTGCGCTAGGCGACGACGCTCGGATCGCAGTCAGGTCTCGCAGTTCTTGATCTGGAGCGATTGGTCGAGCCGCGCACCGAGCATCGCGTGCTCATTATCTCGCGTCGAGGTGCTTCGCATGGGCGCAAGTGGGGTCCGGGTATTGAGGACGCAATGGTGGCCTGGCTCGAGAGCTCCGGAGTCTCGGTTGAAGCTGTTGACTTTGCGGCGATGTCTGTCGTGGAGGTCGCGGCTGCAGTTCGTCGGGCCACCGTCGTCATTGGCGTCTCGGGTGCGGGCATGATCAACATGATGTACGCGAGGCCAGACACAGTGCTCATCTACATCTACCCTGAGCGTGTCTTTGGTCATCTTGATCCGCTCAACAGCTCGGGCATTTACATCACGCTGGCGCGAATGCGGGGCGGCCAAGTCGTGGTGGTGCATGACCTTTCGGCCGGCCCGGATGCCGACAACTACCTCCCGCTCCCCATCGCGGCCAGTTTCTTCAAGATCGGCTTCGCCCTGGGCCTAGGCGGGCGCTTCCCGCCGCCGACGCTGGCCCCAGTTCCCTCGGTCTGGGATGGCCCATCGGCGGACGAGTACAAATACACCATCTTGTAGCTAGTCACGCTTTGATCCAAAAGATTAACTTGATCCTCGATGGTACATCTTCACCATGGAGCAGCTTGGCATCACTTGGCAGTGCAGTGGCGCGAGCAGTCTGCCCCCGTATGCCATCGGCGAGAACTCAGGTTTGGCGAGCGAGAACAGAACGAGGCATACCCGACCGTCACTCGCAACCAAGCATGCCGCGCGCGCGTTTGTTGGATCGCCCAAACACACACTGTGCTCCACGTGGAATCGCTCAATATTGAAACTGGTGTGTACGTTCTCCCTCCCAACCCATGCCTGAGCATGCGGCTGGGCCGCCTTTCCGTCGGCGAGAGCGAGTAGCGATGGCGGCTCCAGCCCATACCCAATCATCTGTATCAGCTCAGCATGGAGCGAGATCACTCCGACAGCCAAGGCTACGGCTAGCGGCGCGCGAGAGAAGTCGATAACTCGTTGAGGGAACACGCATCGGAAGACCACTAAATCGAAAGACCTTTACTGAGGTCGACGGCTGCTACTTGCCTTTGGACTTGCGACGCTTGCGCTTGTCATCGGTCGAGGGCGGCGGGGCGTCGTGGGTGTCGCGCCGACGCGACTTGTCTTTGTCCTTGTCCTTGGACTTGGACTTGTCCTTGGACTTGGACTTGTCCTTGTCCTTGGCCTTATCCTTGTCCTTGGCCTTCTCCTTACCCTTGTGGCGCGACGACTTGTGGCGCGACGACGACGACGACGCCGACGCTCCGTCCGGCCGTGACGACGACGAGCCGGCCGTTCGCTTCTTGGCCTTGGTGATCTCCTTGTACAGCTTGTCGCGGTACTCCTGGATCGAGTACTTGGTGTTGTCGTCGATGGGAATAACGATGTTGTGATCGAGCGTCGGCTCGTCGGCCTCGTTGTGGAAGCCGGCCACGTACGGGTGCTTGAGTGCGTTCTCGGCAGAAATGCGCGCGTTGGGGTTGAACTGCAGCAGCCGCCGCATGAGATCGAGCGCCTCGTACGGCGCACGCGGAAAGATGTCCGCCAGTGTCTTCTGTGGCACAGGCGGGAGCCGGTCAAGCATCGTCCGCGCAAATGGCGAGTCGATGGCGTCGAGGTCCTCCTGCGTCGGCCGTCCGATGACCTCCACAATCTTCGTCAGCTGGTTCATCGTCGACGAACCCGGGAACAGCGGCTTGCCGCCGAGTAGCTCGCCGAGGATGCACCCCAGCGACCACATGTCGACCCCAGACGTGTACATTGACGACCCGAGCAGGATCTCTGGCGCACGGTACCACCGCGTCGCCACATACACCGTCACACGTGCTGCGTCACGCCCTCGGACTCGGGCGTCGCCACAGACCGCGCGAGCCCAAAGTCGGCCACTTTGAGCGCGCACTCTGAGTTGAGGAGGAGGTTCGACGGTTTCATGTCGCGGTGAATGACGTTGCCAGAGTGCATGTACTTGAGCGCCTTCAGCAGCTGGTACATAAGATACTGCTTGTGGATCGGCTCGAGAATGTTGGCACGGATGACGGCGTGCAAGTCCGTCTCCATGTAGTCAAACACAAGGTAGATGTCGCGATCGTTGTCCGCCTTGAGCACGTTCGTCAGCCGGATGATGTTCTCATGCCCGCTGAGCTGTTGCAGGAACATGATCTCCCGGAAAGTCCGCTGCGCGTCCGTCGAGTTCTGGAAGGCGTCAAAGATCTTCTTCAGCGCAAGCGTTTTCTTCGTCTTACGGTCCACCACCTTCCACACAATCCCGTACGCCTACCCGCACCACATGCCATGCCCATGTCCCGTCAGTCTTACATACGCTGACCGCCCCCCGCCCCCCCTTTTTGCGTCTCCTCCCACCCCCCCCCCCCCTCTCTCTCTCTCTCCTCTCCTCACGGGCTCAGCCAGCCAAACGCCACAAATTCAGGCGCATGACGGCCATCCAGCGATGTCAGCCAACGTACCCCTTTTCCGAGCTTCTGGACTACGCTGTACTTGCGCAACACATGCTTGTCTGTCCCCCTCCATTGCCCACCAAGCCATACCAAGTGCCGTGAGTCCCTGCCTCTCTTCTCCCGCACTCTTCCTACCCCATGCGCCGCTGTTCCAGCCATGGGTAGCTGCGGGTCACGCTGCAAACTGGCCACCGAACAACCGCCGGCGAGTGCGAGCGACATGCCAACGCCACCTCTAACAAGTATGCCCTTCCTCACACACAGACATACACACACACATTCTCTCTCTCTCTCTCTTTGTCTCTGGGTGGCTGGCTGGATTTCCAGCTATCTTCTACCCCGCTCACGCTCACAAGTCCTACACCCCTCCACATCTGCTCCCACAGACAACGTACCGATATCCTCCGACATGGTGGCAAGTGGAGTGGCCCAGCCCTCCCGCAAAAACTGCTATCGAAAGCGCTTCGGCGAGCGAGGCAGCAGCGGGGAGACACCAACACGTTTAGCGTCACACTCACTCCAATCGATGGAACAGCAATGGCAAGGCCAACAGGTATTTATCAACGAGTAGAGCCTTTCCATCAACACCAATGGGGAGTGCACATTCCCCAAACTCCATGTCGCGTTGCTGATGGCGCCCGAGCAGATCAACTGCCCTCGCTCCATCGGTGGACAGATGCTCATCACACAGCCTCCTGTATGTGCTGCGCGAGTAGTCGGTTCTTGGCCCGCGCGTAGCACTGCCCATACTCTAACACCTGCAACCAAGCAGTGCGCGTCATCTCATGGAATGCACATCTTCTCGTATCGTCAAGCTGGTGCGTTGAAGAATGCCAAAAAGGTCGCAGACGGTACTGTGTCGCACCCGAGACACCGGCACGGGCACGTGCGGCGAGTGCCACAGCATAGGCCACAACTCGCCACACTTCTCGATCACGTGACCGCACATCAACCTTTTCTCGTTCTGCAGCTGACGTCGGTCCCCTTGTCGTCTGCTCGTCTGCCCTCATCTTCTCCTCAAGCCACCGAGCTCCGGCACCAGCTCCTACCCAAAGCGCCAGCTCTTGTCATCATGTCTGTCGCCACCGAGTTGAGCCGTTCGACGCTGGCAGCGGAGGCCGATGGAAGATGCAGACTCCATTGGGGGAAGCGCTCATACATCATTACGCACAACGCCACAACCACAACTCACCGGCGGCATCTAAGCTCGCGCTCGAGCCGCCCGCCGCCTTTCGCCCCGACAGCTCTCCGACGATGGGCTGTTCGAACAGCAGGGTCGTCTCGGTGAAGCCGTGCGGAAATCTCCTGTGCCTGGCAGGCATGTCGCTGACTGCGGACCAAGAGCAGTCGACGCACTACACGTGCTCGGCCTATTGCCTGGACGAGATCAAACCCCTTCTCCATTTCACTCCTTCGAAGCCGGTGTACTCGGGCCAATCGACTCGCATGTATCTCTCTTCTGCCTCATGGGTTGATCTTATGAAGACTGATATTGTGGACTACATGGGAAACATCCCCCCCCCCGTAAGCAAGCTCGAAATTCTCGGGCTCATGGCCAACAATCCGGAGATGGTCCTCAAGGTGATTGACCTGTCCAAGTGCTCGGCAACCAGCATGATTACCAAGGCCTTTCTGGACTGTCTCCACCCGTCTGATCTGGAAGGCAAGTTTATTAGTGGCGCCCTGGCCATGAAGGACAAGGACGAAATCAATGATGTAGACGACCTCATGGCAGTGGTTGTCTACGCACAACTTGCGTGGCTTTACCAGCGCAGCGGCGGCGCTGAAGCCCTGGCTGATCTCCGCAAGCTTGTGAAAGTGCTCGGAGATGCAGGGGCTGAGGCGGAGGCTGAAGGGGATACTTTTCTTTTCAACGAGCTGAGCCTGTTCCGCTGCATCATTGAGCTCGAGACGCAGGACTCGCCGGCGAGTATGGTGTCCACGGTTGAAGCTCTTCTGGACCTTGCGCTGAAGTACGGAACTTCTCTCAGTTTTGCTGCTGCTGCATCTGGGCTCATGCGCTTGTTCGACGCCGACATGGGCGGCGCCATCGATGAGATCGTGCTGGCTCCCCGCACCAACGGACGTGGCTCGAAGTTTACTCTGAAGCTCGCCCACTTTCTCGCTGTCGAGTCCAGTGCCTGCTATGCCCCCCCTTCAGCTGCTGGCACCATGTTCCTTGCACATGACGCGCTCTTTCGGATCGCAAAGAACTACGCGCGAGTTTGGTCTGCGCCGCCACCGGCGGTACTCTGCGTGACGTTGATGCAATGTGGAGTTGCTGCGTTCCAGACGTGCATGCGGTTCATGACACCAGAATTGGTGCCCCGCGCGCCAGTCTTGGAGAGCGCATCGTCGATGGTAGCGGCTTTGACGGCGCAGCTCGATGTGTTCCTGCTCAACATGTGCCACAACTCGACCCAGATGCTGACCTCTGTGCCTGACCCCAAGGTGTATGTGCTGGCCTGTAAGATCATCAACACTGGCTGTGGTATTCTGAAAGAGAGAATGTGCTCTCCGGCCGCTCGGCTCCAGTTCGCTGCCGCAGCAATGGCCGTGTCTTCGCTCGAGTCGATGATCGGTGGTGACCATCTCGGCGAGCACGAGCCGGAGACGTGGCTGAAGCGTGCGGCATGCGTCGTCAGAAACGTTGATGTCGCCAGCGCTGACCTTGCCCAGTTTGATGTCGTGGCCACCGCCGGCATGGGCGAGTACTTTGCTTCTCTTGAACCGGCATGCCTGCTTGCCACGGTCGAGGAACTGTTGGCTCGCGACGCCTCGCCGTTTGTCGCTTTTCTCACTGGCCTTCGACCCGATACTCTTGGCGAGTCTGCGAGCCGGTTGAGCGACGACGACGGCAGCGCCATTGCGCATTCCATGATGGCCAAGGCCGTTGCATCTGCTGCAGACAACGCTTCGCTCTCGAAATGGGATCGTCTTCGCATCTCTGTCGCGGCTGCCATGGTTGCTGCCTACAACGACGACTGCGAACGCGCCCATGAGCTTCTTCCCGAGCTGGATGTGGTCGCCACTGTCCGCGCTGGCCAGCCAGGCATTGTGCGGATGTGGCTGGTGGCGGCCGCCTTTCTCCGCGACTATGTCATTCCGGTCTCGTCGCGCCAAGTTGCCAACGCGCTCGAGGCTCTGACTGCGCTCGAGGCCGCGGCGATGAGCGACTGGATGGAAGCTGTGGCCAACAACGAGACCCACGTCTGCCCGGATCATACCTCGGGCTACGGGTTGCGGCTCCATTTTCGCCCGCTACGCCAACTCGACGCCCCGTGGCGCGCCTCGCAACTTCTTATGGCTGATCGTGAGGCTGCGCGGCAGACGGCGGTGAGCCAGCGCGGCCGCATGGCATTTTTGCGCAAGGTCGACGTCGGCCGCATGAGCAAGTCCGCAGGCTCGGGTATTGTAGTCCAGTTTGGTGTCTTGGGCCCTTCGACAGTACCCGAGATGCAGCACTTTGCCGAGGACGTGCTGCTTGCTGCAGTCTGGGCTGGTTCTGGAGAGCCGTGTCTGGCACGGGCCGAGATCGAGCCGGAGGCTCGTCAAGCCGAGCTCGGTGTCTTTTTGGAAGAAGTGTGGCAGCTGGTGGCTGACGTGGGTGGGACGAGCAGGTCGCGGGTTGTCCTGGTGCCGGATGGCTGGCTCGGCGAACACCCGCTCCACGCCGTACCCACCGAGTCGGGTCGGCTCATCGATCGTGTAGCGTCAGTATTCTACGCGACCACGCCGCAGCTCGATATCAAGAAGGGCAAGCGCAAGACGCCGCTAGTGACGCCGGCATTGGTCGCAGGCGAGGCGGACGAGACGGTTCTCGGCACGCTACTGGCAGTGGCAAGCATGTATGGTGGGAGTGTGGCCGAGCTCGGCAAGCCTCCCTTGCTGGAACCGTCCGAGTCGAAACAAACCATAACTGGTGTCATCCAGCTCAACCTCGAGGACATCAGTGGTCAGAGGCCGGAGCCAACAGTGGTGCTGCCGTGTGACGGTCCCCAGGGCGCGACCGAGATGAAGCTCTTCCCCGAGCTCATCAGCGGTCTGACCAAGAACAGGACTGCGCAGCTTGCCGCACTGGTCTCGCGACACGGGTTTGGCCTCACAAGAGTGATGGAGAGGCCGTGCGTGGTGCGGGCACTCTTGTCTAAAGCCGCCCGTGTGGTGATCGCGCCGCTCGGCGACGTGGCGTTGGCGTCGCAAGCCGCAGTCCTTGCGCAGTTGTTCGTGTTCCTCGCGAGCGAGCCGCTGCCCAGGAAGAACACGTTGCCTTCCCTCCTGCGGGCGGCGCAGGACGCCGCAGTGGCCGGAGGAGCGAGTGACGATGTCTACCGCCTCGCTTTGGTGGTTTAGGTGGCAGAGCGCTTCCACACAACGAGCTCGGATTGAACGCCGCGGTCAACTGCGAGATGAGCATGAAAGTGGCGAGCAGACTCGACGTAGCTCGCCGAGTCGAGCCATGGGCGGATGTGCGGCTCGATCGATGCAAAGGCGACAACGAGTGCGCCGGGGGAGTCATCAATGCTGTCGCCGTGTTGCTCGAGCCAATGTGCGGGATCCAAGGCAAAGGCCTCGGCTTCGTCGACGTAGGAGGCAAAGTCGAGGACACCACGGGTGCGATAGGCGTCTTCGGCAAATGGCGGCGAACAGTCGAGGAACCGAAGCGTGAGATTGGGTGCGTGGACAAACGAGTGGAACGGGGTGGCGTGGCAAGGGGTGAGAAAGGTGACCGACGGCGGCGGGTGTGGCCCGTGAGCGCGGGCCTGGATGTCCCACATGACATCGATGGCGCCACGCTGGTGAACAAAGCAGGTGTATGCGGTGAGGACGACAGCAGCGATCGCCACAAGGCCGATGAGCGACGCTGCTGCCCAGCGCTTGGTGCGGGTGGCGCCAGCGACTGCCGCCGAGTAGAGGCCGATGGCCCCGGCGGTGGTGCGGACGTGAAAGACGGCGAGGAGTGGATACAGAAAGCGGGACTCTTTGTGGCCAAGCAGCGAGTAGACACCAAGCGCGGCTGCCAGGACGACATCCAGCTGGCGGAGCGCGGCGGCAGCGCCCGCCACCGGGCCGCAGAGCCACGAAGCGAGAAAGAGAACGAGCGCCGGTCCGAGTAGCTCGGGCACACCGGCAGTCAGGTACCAGTGCCACGGATGAGTGCCGTAGAAGGCGGCCACCGAGTGAGCGAGGTTGAACGAGACAAAGTTGAGCGGTGCAAGGGTCCACGCGCAGTAGAGCGCAGAGTCAATGGCCACAAGCAGTGCCACGGCTCCCAACGCGGCGGGCAGCAGTACACTCAGTGTGTAGTGCGCGAGCGCAGAGGAGAAGAGGCCACGGCCGCCTGCGGCTGCGGCGACTTGGACGAGAGTGGCAGTGTAGAGCGCGGCAAAGATGACGGCGGCAGTGGGGCGGAGCGCAACGGCGGCGGCCATGCACCCGGCGCTTTGGAGGATACAGCGGCGAAGCGTAGCCCGATCGGCTTGTGGGAGCGAGGCTGGGTCAGCAGCGAGGAGCGATGCGCTGCTCCCGGACGCCGGCCAAGCAAGGAGGGCGGCAGCGACCGGGAGCGCGGCCATCGTCGACGAGAGAGTTCGCGTCCCGCAAAAGGCAGCGTACCATGATCCCAGCTGGACTGCGGCAGCAGCGGGGAAGACAAGCTTGCCGCGCGGGAGGCGGGCGATGACGAGGCGGACAACGAGCACATCAGTTGCGGCCTGAACAAGGGCTTGGAGCAGTCGCGGAGCATAAATGACTGCGGCGGGAGTGTCTGCACCGATGGCGGCGAGCAGCGCGTAGAGAGCAGCAAAGATGGCTGGGTGCAGATGCGAGCGCAGGCGGGCAGTGGACCACTCCCAGGTGGTGTGTCCGTAGCCAAAGACCAGGGCATGGGCCACCTCTGGTCCCTGCCAGTACTCGTCAGGCGCAAAGTAGGTAGCAAGGGTGAGGGCGAGGGCCAGGCGCAGGAGGCAAGCCCCAGCCAGTAGTTGTGCATCTCGACTGAGGCCGACCATAGTGGGGAGGGGGGGGGGGGCGCCTGTGGGAGGTGGATCGTGGGGGTGGACATTGGCGATGAGTCGAGTCGCTGTCTGCTGTCGGTGCGGGTGATGGGCGAGTGACTGGCCAACCGGGTGTGGTCTGGCCGTTCTGGTCTGGCCATGGGCGAATGGCGCCATTCGCCATGCGGCAGACCGACCACGAGGCAGGAGGCTGAGTGGAGGGAGGGGGTGACACACTCCACTGACACTCTGGCAGAGTACGTAGACATGTGTAGTGGGGATAGAGGATGTTGTGGATGGAGGTGGAGGTGGGAGAATGTCGGCTGGTCTCTCTCCCTCTCTCTTTCTCTCTCTCTCTCTCTCTCTGTGGTGGCTCGGCTGTGCTGGCTGTCTCCGCCCTCGCTCTCCCTGTCGCCGTTGCTGCTACCGGCCGTATGAAGGAAGGCGAGAAGGCGGGTGGCAGGTGGCGGGAGGCAGGTGGCAGTGGAGGGAAGAAGGGAAGGGAGGGGAAAGGGAAGGGAAGGGAAGGGAAGGGAAGGGTGGGTGTGGGGAAGGGTGGGAGGGGTGGCTCATGGGTGATGGGTGCTTTGGGGCGCAGTGGTCTCGAGAAAGACAAAGGCGTCGTCCAAGACAGAGCCGACGACGGCCAAGTTCTGGGAGGTGGAGCAGGCGAGTCCGTACGAGAAGAAGTCATCGCGGAAGGCATCGACCAAGAGCTCGACCAAGAAGAAGAGCTCGGCCAAGAAGAGCCCGGCTAAGAGCAAGGCGTCGGCCAAGAAGGGCAAAGCTGCGTCGCCGGCGCCGACTCGCGCGTCGTCGCGCAGGTCAAAGGCCACGCCGCGCGCACAGGCGGCAAAGGCCGCTGCAGAGCCCGAAAAGACCAAGAAGGCCGCGTCCAAGAAGAAGAAGGCTGCATCCAAGAAGGCTGCGCCCAAGAAGGCCGCGTCCAAGAAGAAGGCTGCGCCCAAGAAGGCGTCGACCCGGTCGTCCCGCCGGTCGGCGTCGCGCAAGGCGGACGCCGATGCCACCAGTGAGAAACCCGCCAAGTCGGCCAACAAGCGCAAGCGGTCGGCCCGTGCCGCTACTGTCGATGACGACGAAAAGAAGTCCGCCGCCAAGGGCCGCAGCTCCAAGAAGGCCAAGTCGCTCTCCGAGCCGCCGGCTGGCAGCAACGACCTCGTCGCCGCACGCATCGAGAGCTATGAGGAGCGCGACGGCGTCATTTACGAGCTTGTCCGCTGGGAGGACAACGGTGAACTGGCATCGATCCCTGCGCCGGACCAGGAGGCCGCCCGCGTCGAATTTGCCGAGCAGAACACGTCCAAGTCGTCGTGCGTCATCTCGTAGCTCTGCGCCTGTCCCACATGGCGTCACTCCCGGGTAAATGACACAGTATCTCACAGACCAAGGCAGTTTAGCACCCCAGTGAAACGGGCGAGCAGACCTACGCCGAGGTCGAGGCAAACTTGGCGCGGACGTCAGCAAAGACCTCGTCGACGGTCCGGGTCGAGTCGATCTCGTGGCAGCGGGACTGGGCCTTGAGGGCGTCGATGACGGCATGGAGGTCTCGTGGAAGACGCGGAAGCGCTTCTTGATGGCCTCGATGTTGTCGTCGACGCGGCCGGACGTCTTGCCGCGCTCCAGCAGGCGCTGCTCGAGCACATCCTCGGTGCACTTGAAGTAGAGGCAGAACTGGGCGGGGACAACCGTGGCCTCAAAGGCCTCAAACTGGTCGACGGCGCGCGGGAAGCCATCGATGAGGTAGCCAGCCGGGTTGGCCGCCGACTCCATGGCGGTCTTCAGCAGGCCGATGGTGATCTCCATCGGCACAATGAGTCCGTTCTTGATGTAGTCGTTGATGAGCTCGGCTGCCTCGGAGCCAGAATCACGCTCTGCCCGGAGCAGGTCGCCCGCCGACAGATGGGTAAAGCCAAACTCCTCGACGAGCTTGGCGCACTGGGTGCCCTTGCCCGCACCGGGGCCGCCTACCACACCATGGCAGCAATATAAAATACACGCCGAGTGAGAGTGAGTAAGATAGTGAGTGAGGGATGGAGGGATGGAGGGAGAGTGCGTGGGTCTGTGTATGCTCCTCCGTCCACCAGGTTGCCTGGCTCGGGCTCATACCCCCCCCACCCCCCCCCCCCCAGCACCCGCACCCGCACCCGCATACATACCGAGGACAAAGTAGGCCTTGGCCTGGGAAACGTCGAACGAAGCCATGATGATTGAGCGGAGGGTACTGCGCATGCAAGTGGGGTGGTGGGGTGGTAGGAGTGGGGCATGTGGGCTTGGGTTGACGGGGAGGGGTTGGCGGGCAAACTGCTGTGCCAACAGAGACGATGAAGGCGAGTCGGGGAAAACAGACTTGGGCGAACAGAGGCAACGTTACTGGCTGCTTGATAGCATGGTGCAATAGGGAGGGGGGGGTGGATACGGGAGAAGGAGATGGTGTTATCATTGCTATCGTCGCGGTCGCAACCGTCATCGCCACCACTTCAGGTCGTCACGATTGGATGCACCATGTTGATGGCCATGGAGAGCGGGATAGCAAGAAGGAGGTAGAGCAACCAGCAGACGACGTTGGTGGCGACAAAGATGGTGGTAAACTTGGTCACGTACGCCTTGGGATTCCGCCATTTGAGGATAAGCGGGCGGGTCGTGGGGCCGATGAGTGCGCCTTGGCTGGTGCCGACCGCCACCCGCGCCGCGTCCTCGATCCGCGACCGTGTTAGGCCTGACGCCACGTATCCACCACTGTAGTCGACAGCAAGGTCGGAGAACTTACTTGCAACGACCCAGACGTTGACCGGGCCGATAGGGCGGGTGCCGTTGGCGGCGTCGACCGCGGCGCGCGAGACGAGCGGCGCCACAAGAATCGGCTGCTCGCCGCCGGTCGAGCGGGTGAACTCGGTGAGGAGTACCGCATCGGTAAAGGTGAACGCCTTGGCGTTGCCGTACGCGTCGACGTTGTCGACAGAAATGTCGTATGCCACCCGGTTGTTGATGCTCACGTCCCACACTACCGGCCACACAAAGCCCGAGACGCAAACCGCGGTCGCCAGCGCGAGCGAGAGCACGCCAACAACCACAAGGTAGGTGATGCGATCGGCAAACTCGTCGGGCCGATTCTGCATGTACCGGAAAAAGTAGAACGAGGCCGCAAGGCCTGGAACCAGCCACCAGTACACCATCGCCACCATAAGAACATTGCCGAGGTACGAGGCGTGAGCCACAACGAGCGCGATGACCTCGATCACCGCGGCCACAACCGCCACAAAAGCCACGTACGACACGTTTGAAACACCACCGCGGCGATGCCGGGCGGAATCACTGGCGCACGGCGCTGTGCCACAGGGCGTCCTGTATACGGCGAGCGCGCCACTGGACGAGGTGCTGCGGCCTCCTCGTCGGCCACCGACGCCGTCGATCCGAGCAGCGACTTGGCGGCCGAGTGCGCAGTCTCGTCATCGCCGTCCAACGACGACGCCGTCAGCGCCGACGAGCAGGAGTCCGAGCATGTGCCCAAGCCCTCACCCGACGCCGAACTCGAGCTTGCGCGCCGGGTCGGCACGCTGCGCGCTGTCGTCGTCACGCTGTTCTGCGCCTCGAGTCGCTTCACCAGTGCCGTGAGCTCATCGATCCGTTGCTCGGCGGCGGCGAGGCGGCGGGTGGCATCGGCGGTGCCATTGTCGGGAGACTCCATTGTTTCGGGACGGGATGGTCGGAGTGATGCTGCCAAGAGTGGGCTGGGTTGGGGGGCCGGGGTGCGTGCGCGGGATAGAAAATGGGGCTTCTTTTGTAGCCGCTGGCAAGCAATTTGCTCGTGGTTCTCAGAACCAAGACGCAGGTTGGGCCGAGGCGCATGTGCGGACGAGGAGAAGAGGGGACGGAGCAAATGGAAGCAGTTGGAGGTGTGGGAATAGAAAGACCAGTGATGCAGTCGGTCGTGGTCAAAGCGGGGAGTGCGCGGCAGGGATCGACAGTTTATGGTTGCAGGCGGGCGCCGCACCGCGCGATGCAAAGGGAGGAGGACGGAGAGTACATCACTGGTGGAACGGGACGAGGCGGATGCGGCTCGGGTCTGATGGGTGCTTCTCGATGGCGCCAGCACGGAGGAGGAGCTCGATGTATGGCTCATACATGGAGGACTCGATCGGGATGTAGGCCGACGAGAGCGAGTCGTCCATGGTGGCGGCGAGGAGCTGGGCGAGCGTATCTTCGAGCGAGTCCCAGTAGCCGGCGACCTCGGGCCGGACAACAGGCGGATAGGCCTTGGCCACAAAGTCCTTGAGCGACTCGCCGAGCCACGAGGTGTAGCCCTTGAGGGCGCGCTCCTTGGCGGCGAGATCGAGTTCGCGCTGCTGGACAAGCTCGGCCACGTCGTCGTCGTTGAGGCTCACGCCGCCAGCCGCCGCGTCAAGGACGCCGCCAAGACCTTCAGGCAGGAGCGCCATCTTGCCCTCGAGCTGGGCCTGCAGGGCGCGGCCGACGGCTCGACGTTCCTCAAGGATGCCGCGCTGGAGCAGGACCTCATCGTCGAGGGAGGCGAGCCGGGCATTGAGCACATTGGCGGTGATGTCCAGCTCCTCCACGAGGCCCTCGAGCATGGCGAGCATGGCGACGCGGGTCTCGGCTAGCGAGCGCCGCTTGCCGCGGTTGTCCGGAGGCGCGTCGAGGATGGCGCGGGCGGTGTCGAGCTCGCGCTGCAGCAGTGTCGCCTCCAACAGGAGCTGCATCACCATCGGCGCCGCCCACGGCGCCGACGACGGTGCCAGCGGATCCAATGCATCCTTTAGGCCTGGCGCCACCGCCGGCGCGAGCACCTCCTTGCCCTTTGCCGCCGCAAAGCTCGCGGCATCGTCCTTCAGCGCCGCCGACAGCGCCGCAATCCGAGCACGGACCTCCTCCAATGCCTTTCGCACCGGATGGTTCTCACCAGACGTTGCACTCGCACCTGATGCCACCGACCCAGTCCTCACCGCACCCGCGCCGTCGTCCTCGCTCTCGCTCTCGCGCCTTGCCGCCGTCGTTGCCGCCCGGCTGCCGACATGCTTGGCGGCAAGTGCCATGTGCCGGGCCCGGGCCGCAAGGTCCAGAGCTGCTGCATGGGTCGTGTGGTAGGTCGCTGCCATGACTACACGTGTGAGAGAAGAGGTAAAGTGGACTGTACTGCCAGTCGTAGGTGCTGCCGGAGAGTTGGCAGGAGGAGGAGGGGGGGGGGGGGGGCGCGGGCGGGAAGCGCACCGAGTGTAAGGGAGATGGACGTCCGAACCCAAGAGGGGGGAGATCGATGACAACAAGCGCTTGTGAGCAAATGGGTGGAAGTGTGTTTATGAACACATGCTGCAAGCGGGGGTGATCAGCATGGGCATGGCAATGATAGCAGCTGTAATAGTCGCGAGGTAGAATCACCAGACTCGAGTCGACCACCAACAGAGTGTCCGCCAACCACCTCCTCCACCGCCTCCCCCCACCTTGATGATTGATGGCTATGGCCATGGCCATGGCCACACCACTTCCTCCCATGTTGAGACTAGCTCACTGGCATGGTCTGGTGTCGCTAGCTGGCCGCGCCACCTTTGCTGCGGTGGCTGCTCGAGCCGCTACGGCCACTACGGCCGAGGCTGGTGGTCGTGGTCGTCGCTCCCGGGGTGGAGCAGAGGCTGTCGCGGGTGAAGGTGTGGACGAAGCAGGTTGCAGCGAGCAGGACAAGGTGACCGAGCCGGTGGTGGTCGAGCAGAGTGTGGGTGGACCGGGTGGAGCCGCCGGAGTGGGTGCGGCAGAGCACGGCTTGCCGGACCATGTGCGGGTGACGCCGACGACAAGCCGGGCCGGCCAGTCAGCCTTCCGTAGGTACTGGGACTCGCTGTCGTCGTACATTACGGCGGGAAGGGCGCGGGCGCGGGCGGGCGCAGATGCTGGTACACAAGGGGATGCCGATACCGGGGCGGGGCAGCGGGAGGGTGGGCCGGTGAGCGATCGCCGCGCGCCCGATGAAGCCGAGATGGCAACGCGGCTGGCGGCGGTGGCATCGGTAGCGCCGGAGGAGCGCAAAGGCGATCTGCAGGCGCAGGTGGCGGCGCGCGAGCTCGCCGAGGCGTATCACAGCTACGGGGTGGCAGGCAAGGCGTGGTTCCTTGCCACACTGGCAAGCGAGTACGGCACGTCCGGTTCGCGGGTCTACGACGCCATCACCGGGTGGCGGTCGGCGACCGTGTCTGGGACTGGCCCACGCGAGGACCGCTACTTTAAGGCTGAGCGTGCGCTGCGCGAGAGCTTGGTTCCGGGCTATGACCGGCTCTTTGCGCTTCTCCGGCAGCAGCCGGGTGGGATGAAGTTTGTTGTCGATCTTCGGCGCGACGTCCGCTCGCTCCTCCGCGCACCGCCGGAGAAGGCCGGCGGCCTGGTGGCTGCCACCCGCGCCGACCTCGCGGCGCTCGACAAGTACATGCACTCGGTGCTCTCGTCATGGTTTGCAGTCGGTGCCCTCGACCTCGCGTCGATCACATGGGACACGCCGGCATCGACGCTCGAGAAGATCATGGACTACGAGCGTGTCCACCGCATGGATGGATGGGAGGACCTGAAGCAGCGCCTCGGCCCAGGCCGTCGCTGCTACGCCTTTTTCCATCCGGCCATGCCCGATGAGCCGCTCATCTTTGTCGAAGTCGCGCTCCTCCGCAGCATGGCGTCGTCGATCCAGGACGTGCTCTCCGAGGTCCCTACCCTCGCCGACGAAGAGGCCTCGTCGACCGCCATTTTTTACTCCATCTCAGCAACCCAGGCTGGACTGGCCCAGATCGAGCTCGGTAACTTTCTCATCAAGCGTGTGGTCAATGCCCTCCTCGCCGAGTCGTCGTCCCCGGCGTACTTTGCCACGCTCTCGCCCATCCCGGGCTTTTCTTCGTGGCTCGCCTCCTCGCACGCTGCCGGCGAGCTCGAGGCCATGCTCCCGCCGCTCGGTGCCGTCGCGCTGGCCACGCTTGACGAAACACTCGAGGCCGCGCCGCGCTCGCTCGGCGACGCACTCATGGCGCACCTCGCCTCGCCCGACTGGCACAAGTCGCCCGCCATCGCCGACGCACTGCAGGCCACGCTTCTCCCACTCTGCGCCCGTTATCTGACCTCGGTCCGGCCGCCGCGCGCCGGCGAGCCCGCGGCCTCGGCCCTTGACCCCGTCGCCAACTTTCATCTCCGCAACGGCGCCCGCGTCGAGCGAATCAACTGGCTCGGCGACTCTTCGCCGCGCGGCCTCCGCCAGTCGGCCGGCCTCATGGTCAACTACCGCTACTCGCTCCGCTACATCGACGAGAACAACTACCGCTACGCCAACGAGGGCGCCATCACCGTCTCGCCGGCCATTGCCGACATCCTTTCCACTGTCACATCATCACCACTGTAGCCAACACCAGCAACACCACCGCCACCAGTCACACAAAGCTTGTCGACACTCTCAGCCTCACCCGGTCACTCAAATTTTCAACATTTTTGCAAATCGGCCGCCAACCGCCACCCGCCACCCGCCACCCCCGCACCCCACACACTCGGCACCACCCACCACACAACTCTCCCCCCTCCCCCCTCTTCCACCTACCCGGACACCGTTGCCCCTCACTCTCTTTCCCCCTCCCCCTTCTCTCTCCTGCCGCTCATCATGAACTCGAAGCGGTCTATCGGCTTCCTCTCCGAGCTGGTCTTTGGCGCCACCGAGGCAGAGTCCGAGCCTTGGCCCGAGGCTGAGCTCTCGTTTGGTGGTGATCTCTCGGTCATTGCGCCCGACACTGTGACGGCTGCTCCTGCCGAGCTCGACGAGCTGCATGGAGCCATTGCCGCCCAGATGGAGGCACTCCGTTCCGAGCTCTACGACTCGGCCCCGCTGACCCGCTCGGCCTCGGCCTCGGCCTCGGACTCGGACTCGGGCTCCGAGTCAGAGCCCGAGTCTGACGACGCCGCGCTCGCTGCCACACCCGACCGCAGCAACCGGCTCCCTGAAGAGGGTGACTACTCGATTGTGTACAAGGGCTGCGAGGCCGACAAGATCCAGTTTTTCCGCAATGTGGCGCCTGTCTCTCCGGCGTCCGACGCCTCTTCCGATGTCTCGTCGTCGACGGCCTCCTCGTCCATGGCCTCCTCGCCGTCGGCCGCAGACTCGGCGTCGTACGGCTACGACTCGGTTGGCCTTGAGGCCTCGATCATGCGCGGCCGCGCGCTCGAACAGCCGCTCGACTCGGATTCGGTCGCCTCGACCCGGTTCCAGGACGTCGCCCTCGCCCTGCCCGCCTCCCATCCTGCCGACGTCGACGAGACCGAGGAGGAGAGTGAGTCCGACGACGACGCCGAAGCGTGCGATGGTGATGACGACGTCATGTATCTTCTCTCGCGCGCGTCCAAGCTCCATGCCGCCGTCCGCGACACTGACTTTACGCCGTCCAAGACCAAGATGCGCGAGAGCCTGCGCTCGCGCCCGGCCTCGCTCCGCAAGGCCCCGCTCGACTTTGCCTCGTCCGACGAGGTCATGGAGTTGCAAATGCTGGAAGACGCCGTCTCGCAGCTCTCCAAGGAGGTCAAGACCGCGTCCAAGCGCGAGCAGGAGTCGATCTCGGCCGAGGCCCAGGCCGAAATCACCTCACTCCGTTCGCAGCTCTTTGAGGCCCGCAAAGACCTCGCCGACCGCCGCAAGTCGCGCGCTGCCCGCAACGAAGAGCTTGTCTCGCTTCGCGCTACAGTCTCCCAGCTCAAGTCGACCCTCAAGTCGCGCGAGCTCCGCTCGCTCACGGCTGAGATGGAAGCCAAGCAGGGCTGGGTCGGCTCGGTCTCGGGCATGACCGGCTCGGTCTCCAAGCTCATGCAGACGGCACAGGCCAACATTGCGTCGCTTGAAGAGCAGATCGAGACCGTCAAGAGCCAGAAGGAGCGCGAGAAGCTAGAAATCGTGGTCGAGCAGATGCGCCTCGAGCGCGAGCGTGCCGATCTCCAAACCCGCATGGAGTCCACGGTTTCCGAGCTTGGCACCAAAAACGCCGAGCTCGCCCGCAAGGCCGACGAGCTCGAGGCTCGCAACCGCAACCTTGAGCGCCAGCATCTCGAAGTCGAGAAAGAGCTCCGCGAGCAGCTTGCCGACCTTTACACCGAGCGCTCGCGCGCGCTTGACACCGTCGCCGCCCTCGAGTCCAAGCTCTCCAAGACGTCGCAGGCTTGGGACCTGCAGCGAGTCCGTCTCGAGACGCAAATCACTGAGCTGCAGACCCAGCTCGAGGTGCTTCGCCTCAAAAAGTCCAACATGGAGCAGGTCTACACCCGCCAGCTGACCGAGACCTCCACCGCAGCCGAGTCGGCCCAGTCTATGACTCGCGAGCTGCAGGACGAGAACAATGCGCTCGCCGACGCGCTCCTCGCCTCGGCTCGCGACCAGGTCATCAAGGCCACCGAGGCTGCCGAGGCTGTCGCCGAAGTTGAGGCCCTCCGCGCCCAGCTCGCCGCCAAGGAGACCGAGCTTGTTGCCCAGATTGCCGCCCTTGAGGCCCAGCTTCAGTCTGCCGACAACGCCATTGTCCGCCTCGAGTCGCAGGCGTCTTCCGCCCAGAACGAGGCCTCGGCCACCATTGCTGAGCTGGAGGCACAGATCACCATGCTCCAAGAGGCGCTCGACGAGAAGGAGGCCGCCGAGGCCGCGCAGGCCGCGCACATCCGTGCGCTCCTCGCTGAGCTTCAGTGCAACGCCGCCCTTGCCGATCAGCCGGGCGCCGAGCTGGACGACCAGCTCCTCTCGTCAGCCAAGCACCACATCAAGGTTGCCATGGAGCGGGCCAAGACCGAGCACGCCCTCTCCAAGCGCGACCGCATGATCGAGGCGCTCCGCAACCAGCTCGACGAGGTCACCTCGCGCTACGCCACCGAGCGCGCGGTCATCCAGGCTGGTATGGACTCGATGCGCGCCACCCTGCTGCAGTACGCCCGCGACGCCGCTGCCGCGCAGAGCGAGCACAAGGCGGAGCTCTCTGAGGCCCTCGAAGCCAAGGCCAAGCTCGAGTCGCACGTTGAGCACCTCAAGGCCAAGGTCTCGCGGGTCCGCCGCCAGTCGTCGGCGCTCGACGCCTCGAACGCGCTCGACGCCTACCACCAGGTTGTCGCCAAGGAGCGCATTCATGCCGAGCTTGTTGGCGCCCCGTCGTCGCCGCTCCGCGGCTCGCCCATGCGCAACCGCATGATGGCCGCCCGCGCCGCCGCCGCGCCCGCCACGCCCAACAACGAGAACGTCTTTGTCGTCGCCGGCTCGCCAGGCATCCGCACCCCTGCCTCAGCCTCTAAGCGCCATACACCGTCGCGGGCGGCTGCCTCGCCGCTCACCCCGTCGCAGGCAAACAACCTCGCCTGGTACGACGCCCGCCTCGAGCTGCAGAAGGCCGCCCTGCAGGACGCCATCAACCAGCGCTACGCTTCGGGCCTTTCGCCGCTCCGCAAGCCGACCCCGTCGCGTGCGCCTGCGTCGTCTGCCTCGTCCTCCTCGTTCTCCTCACTCGCCACCGACTCGGCCGTCAGCTCGTACTCGCCGGCCTCGACCGCGTCATCGCCGGCTAACAACTCGGCCTCGTACTCGCCATACTCGCCGTACTCGCCGTACTCGCTGGCGTCGTCGTCATACGCCGCAGCCAGCTTTGGTTACGGTCGTCCGCCGTTTGCTCCTCGCATCCTCGGCCAGTGGTGAGGACATCATTGACCACGTGTAAACTCAAACCATGCGTATAGGACTGCAATCAGAGGGAAGGGAGGGAGGGGCGAGGGAGGGTTGCGACAGTTAGCTCGCGCCGTAGGCAAAAATATTTCCTGCCAGTCACGTTGTGGCAATATTGAGATTGGCAGGGAAAAAGCCCCGCACGGCGGGCTCGCTTGCAGAGTCTCACTCGGACCGAGACCGCACTCGACAGCATGCCGCCACACCTCGGTGCAGGCACGCTCTTGTGTCTTTTTGCCTTAGCTGTTGCGGCGGCGGCGGTAAGTGTGCCTGCGGCTGAGCTTGCGGCGCTCAACGCGCTCTACGAGGCCACCAACGGGCCGACCTGGGCCGACTCGCGGGGTTGGAATGATGGCGACGCGTGCGCAGCTGTCGGCGTTACATGTTCAACAAACGTAACAGCCGGCACTGCCCATGTCGTTGCCATCGAGCTCTCCGGCAACAAGCTCTCCGGCACGCTTCCGGCGAGTGGGTGGGACCTTCCAGAGCTACGCATCCTCGACTTGTCCGACAACCTTATTGGCGGTACTGTCCCGGTGAGCTGGGGAGAGTCTCTGCAGGCGCTCGAGGAGCTCAACCTAGGCGGCGAGCGACTGCTGAGCCTTGCCGCCCACGAAGGGCTCGGTCCCAATTATCGTTATTTTACATCCATCAAGGTCTACTCGTCGAACCCTCTCACCGGCACCCTTCCGCCTGAGTGGGGCAAGCTGAGCAAGTTGGTTATGCTCTCGCTCGCCACCGGCGGAACTGCCCAAGGCGCCGGCTTTGTCGGCAGCATTCCCGACGAGTGGATCGGCATGCGCTCGCTCGTCTACATCAACATTGCTCACTCGGGCCTTGGTGGCGACGTCCTCGCTCCGGTCCTTGCCCGCATCAATGGCCTTCGCTACGTCAATGCGCGGTTCTGTGGCTTCAAGTCCATCCCGCGTGAGTTTGTCGGCTCCACCATCTCCCAGCTCGAGCTGACCGGCAATCCCATGTCCGGCTTTGAGTTTCCCACCTGGCTCTCCGAATGGAGCGCGCTTGAGGAGTTTGCGCTCAACATCTGCAACATCACGGGTACGCTCCCGGCTAGCCTCGGCGAAATGACCCAGCTCACCCGCGTGGTCATCGGCAGCGCGCCGCACTTGCATGGCGTCATTTCGCCGACATGGGGCAACTTGGTCAACATGCGCGGCCTGTTCATTTACCAGATTGGCCTCACCGGCACCATTCCGCCCGAGCTCGGTGCATGGACAAAAATCGAGCGGCTGGTCCTCGCCGAGACAGGCCTCACTGGTACCATCCCGCCCGAGCTCGGCCAGATGTCGGCCGCGTCGTACGTCCTCCTCAACCGCAACAAGCTCTCGGGTACCCTGCCGCGCGAGCTCGAGCACATGACTGCGCTCGCAGACCTCGCCGTCCACTCCAACAATCTGTCTGGCACCATTCCGCCTTCCTGGGGCACCAACATGGTCAACCTCGTCAACCTGCGTGCGTTTGACAATTCCCTCTCCGGTACTCTCCCGCCCGGCTTTCCGGCGCTGGAAATTGTGGACGTCCACAACAACAACTTGCAAGGCCATCTCGACATTCTCTGCAACAAAGCCAAGCTCGGCATCGTCGACGTCTCGTCAAATGGACTCTCATCGTTCCCGGACTGTAAGACCTGTATCGGCGAAGTCGACATCAGCAACAACGCATTTGTCGGCCAGCTGCCCACCATGGAGCACGTGTCTTGCCTCACCAAGTTGAGTGCTTCCCACAACATGTTCTCCTCCTCGAGTCTGCCAAGCTCCTGGTCGCGCCTCAACACCACGCTCGCCCACCTCGACTTGTCGTACAACAATCTCGCCGGTGCTGTCTCAAACTACCTCATCCGCATCAAGTATGGCAACTCGCTCGGGTACATCGACCTCTCCCACAACAAGCTATCCGGCCAGATCCAGCAGACTGTATTCTCGCATGTCGACGCTTCGTTCCTTCAAGGCCTCGTCCGGCTGTACGTCAACGACAACAACATTGTTGGCTCAGTTCCCGGCCTGCTTGAGCGCCTGCCGCTCCTCCACGAGGTCGACCTCTCCAACAACAACTTTACCGGCTCGGCAAGCCCGATGACCGAGGACGCTATCGCCAATGCTGACCTGCGAGGCAACCCCGGGCTTCGCGAGCCCGACGGCATTTCGCTCCCGGTCAACGTCATCGCCCACTATCCACTGGTCCAGCCGAGCGTCGAGCTCAACTACCGGTGTCCGACGCTTACCGATACTGTGACCCAGCGGGTCCGGCTTGACCTCGACGCCCACTACTACGGCGCCTCGCTCTGTGAGTGTCTGCCGGGCTACCATGGGTCGAACGGTGACTGCTTGTCGTGCACCCACCTCGGGCCGGCCGTCACCTGCGAAGGCGGCCAGGTCGTGCTCAACCAACGCGGCCTTGGGCTGTACGATGTGTACGCCGCCAATGTAACCATCAACCCCAACTACTTTCGGGTCGGCACCGCGCCGTCGGGCGACCCGCTCATCGACCCGTGCTACCGGCTCTCGTCGGACGAAACGTCGTGCAACCCGGCCGGGGCCCACCCGGCAGTGTGCGCCGTCGGCTATGAGGACCGACTCTGCTCGCGATGCTCGGCCGGGTACTTTCCGCAGGGCCGACGGTGTCGCAAGTGCCCGCGCATCCTGCCCGAGCTCATGGCGGTGGCGTACTCGGTCAGCTTCTGTGTGTGGTACGCCATCAACCAGACCGGCAGGCGGTCTGCCGTCCTCACGCCGCTCGTCAAGTCACTGTTCATTTTCATGCAGACCTCGGCGCTCATCTTTGCGCGGTCGTCGGCGTTCTTCTGGCCGTCGTCGATTCTCTCGTTCTTTTCGATCTCGTTTGGCTGGACCGCTGTCTCGACCAACGTCCTCACCTGCCTTGTCTCCAGCACTGCCGCGTGGGAGACATCGTTTGTCTTTTCGACACTCATTGTTCCTGGTCTGGGCCTCTTTTGTCTGCTCGCCTACGGCCTGCTCGCTTCCATCTCGCGGTGCACCCGTTCGGGCTTGCTCGGCAAGGACGAGCAGCACTGGCGGTACGGCGGGATCCGGTCCATGCTCGCCATCCTCAACCTCATGTACATGCCGATCACCGTCGGCATGCTCATTGTCCTTCCGTGCGAGTCGTCGGCCGACGGCAGAAAATACCTTTGGGCCGCGCCGTGGATCGAGTGCAGCTCGTCGAACACAACTTGGGTCAACCTGGTCGTTGTTGGCTCGGTCTTCTCTGCTCTCTATGGCCTTGGCGTCCCGGTCATGTTCCTCGCCATGATGCGGGCGCGGAGCAAGACGCTGGAGCGGCTGGCTGCCGCTGGGCTTGTCGAAGTCGACGGCCACTGGCTCCAGTGGTTCTACGCCGGGTACCGCCCAGGCGCGGCGTGGTACGAGTTTGTCATCATGGGCCGCCGGCTGGCCATTGCGGTTGTCGCGGTCATTCCCTCGTCGTCACCCATTGTGCCGCTCGGGTTTTTCATGACTCTCGTCGTTGCTCTCTTCATGCACATCTACCGCCAGCCGTTCCTCTACCAGCCGCTCAACCGGCTCGAGCTCCTCACACTCGTTCAGCTCTTCCTCACCTTTGTCATCGGGCAGATTTTCTCGTCGCGGACCCACGAGAGCTCCCTGCCGTCGTCGTCGATCTACCTCGAAGCGACGGTCGTTGTGAGCAACGCCGGTGTTGTCATTCTCTATCTCATTGCAATTGTCGTGGCAGTCAAGCGCCGCGTCCGCGCCCGGAAATCACACGGCAAGGCTAGGCGCGCGGACGAGCTGCCGCTCTGCGAAGCGCCTGCGCTCTCGGCGCCGATCAAGATCCCGCCGCTGCCGCTGCAGACCATCCTCAAGCCCGCGCCACTGGTGCTGCCGCCGCTGCGCGTGCCCGGCCCCACGCCAAGCTTGGAAACAATCATCGACGTCGACTCATACTCGTCGTCGGGATGGTACACCGCCACCGGGTCTGAGGAGGAGGAGCAAGCCGAGTGCTACGAGCCCGAGCCGCCTGCCCTCGAAGCCGAGATTCGGGCCTTTGTTCGCGCGCACAGCGCCGGCGACGAGACCGATGAAGCCCTGGTGGCGTCACTCTTAGCTGTCTGGAATGCGCCCAAGTAAAGAGGACGCAAACGCAAGCGGAGGAGAGGAGGAGGGTACACAAGTTCAATAACGCCGCAGCTCTCATCCCCACCAGGCCTCCTTGAGCTTGACGGCGCCCTGGGCAAAGTCGTCGGTGGTAAGCGTGACGAGTGTGTCGATAGAGCCCGAGTCAAGGTCGAGGCGCATGTTGAGATGCTCAATAGCATTGTCGACGAGGCGCGACGAGAGGCCGCCGTTGTGCTTGGAGCGCTCGGTCGGCGAAAAGGCCGACGAAATGATGGGCGCGAGCTCGGTCTCAACGCCAGGAGCGAGCTTGAAGTTCTTGGAGGCGACCTTCTGGATGACGATCTGAACAAGCTCGTCCACCGAGTAGTCGGCAAAGTCAAAGGTGTACGAGATGCGGCGCGAGAGGCCGGGGTTGACCGACTTGAACTCAGTCATCTCGTCGGCGTAGCCGGCAAAGATAAAGATGATGCGCTCGTCGCCAGGGTTCTGGCGAGTCATCTCGGTCATAAGCGTCTCGATGGCTTCCTTTCCAAAATCCTTCTTGCCGCCCGAGCTCAGCCGGTAGGCCTCGTCGATGAAGAGCACGCCACCTGCGGCGCGCTGGATGACGGCCTTGGTCTGGATGGCGGTCTGTCCGATGTAGCCGGCGACGAGGTCCTCGCGCGAGACCTCGACAAAGACATCGCGCGAGATGAGGCCAATCTTGAAGAAGAGTGCGGCGAGGAGGCGGGCAACGGTGGTCTTTCCGGTTCCAGGGTTGCCAATGAGCACCATGTGATGGTCAGCCTTGGCGGTGACGGTGACACCGGCCAGCCGGCGGCGCTCGTTGAGCCGAATGGCCTTGAGCATGCGGCGCATCTGCTCCTTGACCTGCGAGAGGCCGACAATCTGGGCAAGCTGCGATTCGAGGTACTCGGAGATCTCATCGCGCGGGCCGTTGTCGACCTTCTCAAAGACCTGGGTGAGGAGCACGGCAACCGGATCGCTGGCGTCGGCAGCGGCGTGGGTTTCCCGGAGCGCGGCGAGGCCAGGCCAAGCCCGGATCCGCTGCAGCGCCTTGATGGATGCAGTAAGGATGGAGAGCATGTTGCCGGCGAGGACCTGGAGCTCCTCAATGGCCGACGCGTCGGCAAGAAGGCCGAGCATCGACTCGATGCCAGCACCGGCGACAAAGGCGTCGTCAAAGCCGGCGACGGCCCGAGCCTTGAGGGCGAGCAGCGTCTCGAGCGTGTGCGAGGCCGCGGTTGTGTTGTTCTCGCGGAGCGCGTCCGGCAGCTGGGCGACAAGCGCCTCCACCACTGTCGACGCTGTCTTGGGGTTCTTCTCTGCCAGATACTCGACAGCCGAGTGGAGCATGCCATGGAAGAGGTCCTTGGTAGTGGCCTCGTCCGAGTTGGTGGAAACGAGCGAAATGTTGTGCAGGGCAACGAGGGCCTGAAGCTCGGCCTTGGCCTTGGACTCGACACGGTGTTGCTTCTCCATCTCTAGGAACTGCTTGTAGATCGACGCGTTGTCCTTCTTGAGCTTTTCATACTCTTCCGCGTCGACAGTGACCGTCGAGCCCGAAGGCGACGGGCCGTCGGGCTTGGACGCTGCCGCCGGCGGCGGTGCCCCGTTCTCGAGGTTGTTGCGCCGAGCGCGGAGGACCTCGATCTGCGACGGGCCCGCACGCGACGGATCAGCACCGCCAGCGCCGACATGCGAGGTCGGCCGCGAGCCCGGTGCCGGGCCGGCCTCGACCATGCCCTTGGCCGAGTACCCGATGATGAGCTTGGTCTCGCCATCGCCAAGCGTGATGACGTCGCCGTCCTGCAGCAGCGTCTCGGCCTGGGACTGAACCCGGCGCTTGTTCAGGAACGTGCCGTACCGCGAGACATCCTCCAGTGTGAGCAACGGTGGGTCTTCTGCCACAGGCGACTCGGTGGCGCGGAGGTTGAGATGATGGCGCGAGACGGAGCCGTCGTCGATGAGCACATCACAGTCGACCCGACCAGCCTTGTACATCTTGCCCGGCTTGACCCAGAACAGCTGCGCTGTCCTCGTTCAATGCATCATCAAGTGAGTGGCAGAAGCAAGTCAGGGAAGGTGGTGGTGGTGGTCATGGTCATGGTGGTGGTCATGGTGGTGGTGGTAAAAGTCAAATTTTGCGCATAACGGGCGACGCTGTCACTCACGCGCCAAAACAGAGAAGCATGCCGGTGGCAGGCCAAGTGGGATGGGGGTGGGGGTGGGATGGAGATAGAATATAAAGAGGGGAAAGGGGGAGAGGGGGTGCAGATGGGGAAGATGAAGATGAAGAGGAGA